CTAGCCTGGTGTAATGAAATATAATTTTTTTTTCGAGCCATGCAGGTGACGCGTATAGGCTTGTTAGTCCGAACATTCGCGAACAAAACCTCAATTGACCGCAGTCGTTGCCAAGAAAATCTCGTTCGCTGCATGTTAAATCAAACAAACCCGGTTTTGTTTGGCAACATGAATTTGATATAAATGCATTTTATTTTTTAAAATATTATACCACCAATTGATTGAAAAAGACTGTAATATATATAAATTTGAAGTTAAAAAATTAACATTTTTTAATAACATCAATATTATTTTATTTTATTTATTACAATTTATAATGATGTTTATTATAAGTATTTTAAACTTTCTTTCTAATCTATTAATTTATATGAGAGTTCAACACAGACTCATTTATCATTATAATAAATAACAATATACTTTATAGATATTATTTTACAAGCTAACAATTTACATTGTTGTTTGATAGATAACTTGTTGGTTTATCAGTAAAATTTATAACAAAATACTTTACCATTATTTTTCTAGGTTAATAATTTACATAGATAGTTTGATAGATGACCCGTTGATTTGCCATCATAACGTGTAACGATATATATTATAAATATTTTAGATTTTATTTCTAAACTAATAATTTAGATGTTAGTTCTTTTTTTTTTTTTGCCAATTTTTTTTTTTTGCCGAAACGATAGAGACTTTATATAACAAACGCACAAATGTGCAAAGATACAACTTGGAACGCAGCCCAAAGCTGAATAAAATGGGAGGACAGGTCTGACGACCGCCTAGAATCCCGATACTAGCAACGCTAGAAACCAAAAGAAGACACTCGAGACAACCACACAATAACTACACAAAAAATCTACAACTAAAACGCTCCCCACAGGAGAATAGAGACAAGAGCTGCTCCCAACAGGAGAATAAATTTAGATGTTAGTTCTACATAATTGATTTATATTTTAATTTTGTAGTTGTAATAGCAATTTTATCGTGCATATTCAAATCATTCTTCCCAAAAAAAAAAACTATTTAATAGTCGCGTTTTTAGTAAACATGTTCTAAAATATCATGGTACATGGTTGATTACCAAAAAAATAAGAAGTTGCAGTAATTCATAATTAATACAAGGAACTGGATTTTTATTGTGATAATTATCACAAAATCATTTTCAAATTCGATAATACTTTATTTATATAAAAAGTCATGTCATTAACCGAATTGCACGATTTACAACAGGTAGGTATAGTTTGATTTTGTATTTTATATTTTGTAAAAAAGTATTAAAGTAATTTTTACAAGATTTTCTTTAATAGAAAGTCAACTAATTTAATTATAAAGTCAATGTTACTATTTTAGATTATTCCAACAACCCTTTTCAATATATATAGATGTCTTAAATTATTCGAAGCGCAAGGGAACTACCACATTGACGAAAAATTACAAAGACTATGGCTAATATGAATTCTTGCTCAAAAAATAAATGAACAAACCTACCTCGAAGAACCGAATCCTCGTCACCAAAGATAAGAAAAGCGTGTCTATTTTGCTCCCGTACTCTCCAGATCCCCAATTTCATCGTCTTCTCATTCTCGGCCTTCATTAATCCCAGCAGGTTGCGCTCTCTCAGCCGTCGTTCAGGATCGTTGCTGGACGGCCTCCACCGCTCATCCATGGTCGTGGCGCTCTCGTCCTCAGTCTGACACCACTAGGTAAAGGCTAGGGTTTTGGCAGATTCTCTTTCCGCTAGATGGCCGCCGGAGTTCAGTGGTATTGGGGCTTGACGGGGTGCGGCGGTGAGTGGATGAGGCTCGAGTTGCTTGGGCCGGCTTTGGTCGGGGCGTCTCTTCTTGCTCGGCTCGGAGGTCTGCCGTATGTGTCTGTGTTTGTGTTAGCATTTTTGTTTTAGGTTTGGGTCGTTGGCCTCGGTTAGCCCGAGTTTGCCCTTATTATCCTGTTGGGATCGTACACTCGGGCCTTACCCTTTTCGGGTCGTATCTTTTTCTTTAGAGTCGTTGTGTTTTTTGATTTTTTAGAGTATTACTCTGTTAGAGTCGGTTCTAGGCGGTCTTTTGACCTGTCCTCTCAGTTTATTCAACTATTGGCTGCTTGTATTTAACTATTGGTTGTTTGTATTCAGCTGGTGGCAGTCCTTTTGCACTTTTGTGCATTTTTATATCATATCTCTATTGTTTCGAAGAAAAAAAGAACTGAATCCTCCTTCTAGTGTCATAGCTTTTTAATAATAGTACCCTTCAAAATTCGACAAGGTTCACATCTTTTAAAATTCGACATCAATCTTAAGTAATAGTACAACCCTCCAAAATTCATCATTGGAATACTTTATATTGTTTCGTTTATTTCAACCCACTTGATCAACGCATAGACACGGATGTAGCTAAAAAAATATTCTTCAAAATTACTGAGTATAAGTACGACCAATTAATAGTAAATTATTCTCCTCTTTGGATTTAAATAGCTAACATAGTTTAAGCATTACTTTGAAACAAAATTTGAAAGTGTCATACATAAGATTTTTAAACAACAAAACATCTAACAATAATATAAAATAGCTAAACGCGTATGTTCCCTTGATCTGCCCACAAAGAGGTTGCAATTGAGCGCGCAATGCACATTGTTCCTTGTAACCGGACTGTGATAAATTGAAAGTGGGGTTGAAAGGCCTCGTTTGATCATCTGCATCACGTTGGGGAATCAGTCCAAATCGTGGAAAGACGGAGATAGGTTATCGGACTGCTGGTGCCGATGAATGAAGTTACATGAAACACAACATGCGACAACGATGTGTTTCTAGCAGTCAATTAAGTATTTTGGAATCAAACCTTTAATAATCAGGAACTTACCTTTTAGTATTCCAAACATACGTTCAACCACAGTACGGATGGACGCATGTCGTTTATTAAAAAGCTCACGTGCGTTCTTCGAAGTTCGATTTGAGCCAACCCACTCCGGCAAATGGTATTTCTCGTCTTTGTAAGGTGTCATGAATCTCGGTACATTAGCATAGCCAGACTCCACCATGTAATATTTCTCTAACATTTTAAGCACTTCAAAATTAATTATTGAAAAATCATGCACATCAATTTTTTTATAATAATAGTAATATAAGCTCTACAAAAAAACTTCTTTAATAATCATTACCCAGCGGCGGCCACGGGAAACCAAATGAGGGATCTCCCAATGTTTCACTAAAACTGTGCGCATCATTAGCACTGCCTTCTCAACCAAGTAGAATGAATGTGAAATTGCACTCAAAATCGCTTGCTACCATTACATTTTGTGCTAGGATTCCTTTTTGACATCTGTAAGGCTCGTGTTTCTGCTAAGGAACCCAACCTGGTATTATAGTCTTGTCTATTGCGCTGATGCAATCCTGAAATGTATTCAACAACATTCAAATATTTATGCATATCTCATTTCTAGAAAAGAGAGACATTTTTATCATAACTTAAATTAAGGATAGACACGTCGATTATTCCGTATCAAAGGAGGCACCCGATTAAATTCAGGGGCCGAATGTACTGCGGTGCAAGCATACGTAGAGCGTCTACCATCATATGAATATGATTACTAATGATCTCTGTAGATCTTCTGAGACGCATGTCGTTGCCTTTGGTGCTCCTTAATCGCATACGAAAAAATAGCAACGCTTTCTTCATGGCTGACTTTTCTTTGTCTGGCATGGCTGTGGATACTCGTCTTACTTATTTCTTTGCACAACAATGTATATACCTTCTTACCACCCCCAATACATCAAAAAATCTTCCATCCGGGCCCATGTACAACTCATTAATCCAATCCACTCTAGTATATGGGAGGGTGAAGCTAGACTTTTGGTAATTCGTTGAGTTGCTTGTGATGTGGACGCATAAAGAGTATCTAGTTGTTCGTATAGTGAATAAAGTTTTGCCCCATAAACAAAACCATTTTCTTCTTCGTCATCCACATCGTCTTCATCATCCATAATGTCCTCGATATTGTCATCATCAATATTTTCCAAATCATCCTTAGCTTGCTCGGAATAATCCTCATCCTTGGAATAGTGATTGACTTCATCATCAACGTCAGACATCCTACATTATTAGAATGCATAGACCAAATTTACGAATAAAACAAGCAAACAAGAATATGATAGCAACGTTAATCCTACAAACTCTTTACAACCCATCGGTCAATTAAAGCTCTACGGTGTGATTCCACCTTTAGGGAAATGAACATTCTGCGGTTGAACAGGATTTCAAACTTTCAAAGTGCAATCATGACAACATCGACCGACAAATCTGTATAAGCTTCGAGCTTGGAAATTTCTCTTTCGAGTGTTGTTTGTCCGCTCATGGCACTTTTTTTTAAGAAGAAACACCTAGGAAGGAATTCATCACTGTGTCAATGGACTGGGATGAAGTTCTATAACGACGAGTGGAGCGACTGTTGTCTGGACTGTACGTATCTTCACCACCCTCATCTGAGAACAATTCATTTTCTGGGATGGCAACTGGACTCCTCCTCACCTGTGGTCTCCCCTGGGGCGGTTGAGTGGAAACTGTTGCGCTAATTCCTGTAGCGGTGGACCCGAAGAAAATGGTCGTCAGTGCGTCGTAGTGCGTACATGTTCTGTTCTTTAAAGCTTAATCTTTTGGGTGTCTCTGCATTCACTATTAAAGAACAGTTTCCAATCAATAATTTTTATAATAAAATATAGGACAAAACACAATATATGAAAGATAGAGCGAATGCACCACTAGTTTTAGAAATAGGAACACACACTGGAAGGAAGGAAAACATACATGACATTATCCAAAAAATGAAATGCACATTTGTGGAAGGAAGGACTGCATATCCTAACAGGAGACAAAAGCATTGAAATAAATCATGAATATTTATAATAATGATTAATTTAAATAAAAAGCATAATTTTACAAATCAGGAGACAAAACATCGAAATAACTAATGAACATTAAAATATAGGATACACTTTACTAATAAGTTTTACAGCAGTCATCATAAAATAGGGCATCAGTGGGCAACACAAATATGGAGCAAGACATTAGAAATGTTGCAAATGGAGAGGAAACACATTTGGGAAAGAGAAGATTCAACTTCAAGCAGTATGTTTGGAGAAAAGAAAAGACCGCAAGTTCACATAAAAAGTAGGGCACCTCATTTGAAGTGATACTATATTGTAAGAGCATCTACAAACAGGTTTACTAGCACAAATCTTTCATCAAAAGGAAAATTATAGGTTATTTCCTAAGGTTTTGTGACTCATGTACCAAAACATATTCATAGTGAAATAGAGTTCCAGAACAAATTACAACCAAACTCAGTTGCCTTTGTCAGCATTGTATGGAAATGACGCAAGTGGGACTTCAACGGAGCCTGCTTACCCATTATTTGATTCATTTCATAAGGTGGGTCGGTAGAACACCGTTCATTTAGTTTGGTCAACAGCGAAGTCCACTGACTCGTACTGAACCTTCCGTCGACGCAATTTACATTGACTACTTCCTCCAACATCAGTGCCACGAAATGAGCCTCCGTTTCCCGAGTCCATTTCGCATCACTCATCTTCCCTTTTGAACTGCCACTATCATCCATACCCAAAATCTACAACATCCAAATTATGTAGACATTTTGCAGGGTAATATGGATATGAGAAAACATGAAACGTATATATACATCATGTTTACCGACTCTGTGAGATTGATAGTAGGAGCACAACAGTCACAATTAATACAGAGCAAATTACAAACAAGCAGCAAAAACAACCAAGAACAGATTGTGGTAACGCAAAACACTCCGACCGGCTGGAAATCGGCTCACTTTTTTCCTCCTCGCCGGTAGAACGCCGTTTACCTGCAAAGAACTCTCACACTGAAGGGGTTTTCCAGTGAACAGCCTCCCATACTTAAGTCAGTGTTTGTTCTACTCAATTCTCAAGAGTAGAAATGGATAGATCGTGCTTAACAAGAAAGGCTCACCCCATATATATAGGGGTGAGATACCTGACCTAGGAACTGCCCGAATTTGATGAGCTGACTGCCCAAAGCTACCCAGGTCCTACCCGTTCGTACGCACACAGTGTGTGTGTGTGTCAGAAGCGGTTATCGCCATATGCCAATACGTTTTGCGCCACGTGTCCTCTGCACATGGGTAATTATTCCCCTGAATATTCCTCGAAAAATCCTTTAAAGGCTCACGACCTCTCTCACGTTTAAGTCACGCCCTAGATTGCTCTCTACCTATGAAGTGGTCGATCAGATCATCTCTTGCCCGATAAGTCGATCCTCAACCAGATTCCTCATGTGCTCGAGCCTAACGCACATCTCATACCGAGACCTCCATCACCCCATTTCCGCAGTGTTCGACCATTACTATTCAACTCAATATTGCTCGACCAGTGTGGCTTTCCCAGTGTTAGATTCGTGTGACCGGTTTAGTGGATCGGTTTACTCCTTTAGGTATATAATATCCCATATTTTGCCTCTATTTACTACTATTTTTCATCGCTATTTTAAATGTATACTATTTTGGTTCAAAACACGAAAGTGCGCCTCTATTTACTACTAATTTCCATGGCTATTTTAAATGTATACTATTGTGGTTCAAAACACGATGGTGCACGACAAATATGTTATTCACATCAAATGATAGTGTCCTGTTCGAAACCATGCTTTTCTGGAGACATCGAACAATTTTTCATTTTTGCCTCTATTACTACTATTTTCGATGGCTATTTTAAATGTATACGATTTTGCTTCAAACCACGATGGTGCACGACAAATATGTTATTCACATCAAATAATAGTGTCCTGTTCGAAATCATGCTTTTCCGGAGACGTGGAACAGTTTTTCACTTTTGCCTCTATTTACTACTATTTTTCATGGCTATTTTAAATGTATACGATTTTGGTTCAAAACACGATGGTGCGCGACAAATATGTTATTCACATCAAATGATAGTGTCCTGTTCGAAATCATGCTTTTCCAGAGACGTCGAACAATTTTTCACTTTTGCCTCTATTTACTACAATATTCCATGGATATTTTCAATGTATACTGTTTTGGTTCAAAACACGATGGTGCGCGACAAATATGTTATTCACATCAAATGATAGTGTCCTGTTCGAAACCATGCTTTTCCGGAGACGTCGAACAATTTTTCGATTTTGCCTCTATTACTACTATTTTCCATGGCTATTTGAAATGTATACAATTTTGCTTCAAAACACGAAGGTGCGCGACAAATATGTTATTCACATCAAATGATAGTTTCCTGTTCGAAACCATGCTTTTTCGGAGACGTCGAACAATTTTTCATTTTTACCTCTATTACTAATATTTTCCATGGCTATTTTAAATGTATACGATTATGCTTCAAAACACGATGGTGCGCGACAAATATGTTATTCACATCAAATAATAGTGTCCTGTTCGAAACCATGCTTTTCCGGAGAGGTCGAACAATTTTTCACTTTTGCCTCTATTTACTACTATTTTCCATGGCTATTTTAAATGTATACGATTTTGGTTCAAAACACGATGGTGCGCGACAAATATGTTATTCACATCAAATGATAGTGTCCTGTTCGTAATCATGCTTTTCCGAAGACGTTGAACAATTTTTCATTTTCGCCTCTATTTACTACTATTTTCCATGGCTATTTTAAATGTATACTATTATGGTTCAAAACACGATGGTGCGCGACAAATATGTTATTCACATCAAATGATAGTGTCCTGTTCGACAGAATGCTTTTCCGGAGACGTCGAACAATTTTTCACTTTTGCCTCTATTTACTACTATTTTTCATCGCTATTTTAAATGTATACTATTTTGGTTCAAAACACGAAGGTGCGCGACAAATATGTTATTCACATCAAATGATAGTGTCCTGTTCGACAGAATGCTTTTCCGGAGACGTCGAACAATTTTTCACTTTTGCCTCTATTTACTACTATTTTCAAGGCTATTTTAAATTTATACTATTTTGGTTCGAAACACGATGGTGCGCGACAAATATGCTATTCACATCAAATAATAGTGTCCTGTTCAAAACCATGCTTTTCCGGAGACGTCGAACAATTTTTCACTTTTGCCTCTATTTACTACTATTTTCCATCGCTATTTTAAATGTATATGATTTTGCTTCAAAACACGATGGTGCGCGACAAATATGTTATTCACATCAAATAATAGTGTCCTGTTCGAAACCATGCTTTTCCGGAGACGTCGAACAATTTTTCATTTTTACCTCTATTACTACTTATTTTCCATGGCTATTTTAAATGTATACTATTTTGGTTCAAAACACGATGGTGCGCGACAAATATGTTATTCACATCAAATGATAGTGTCCTGTTCGAAGTCATGCTTTTCCGGAGACGTCGAACAATTTTTCACTTTTGCCTATATTTACTACTATTTTCCATGGATATTTTAAATGTATACGATTTTGCTTCAAAACACGATGGTGCACGACAAATATGCTATTCACATCAAATAATTGTGTCCTGTTCGAAACCATGCTTTTCCGGAGAGGTCGAACAATTTTTCACTTTTGCCTCTATTACTACTATTTTCCATGGCTATTTTAAATGTATACGATTTTGCTTCAAAACACGATGGAGCGCAACAAATATGTTATTCACATCAAATAATAGTGTCCTGTTCGAAACCATGCTTTTCCGGAGACGTCGAACAATTTTTCACTTTTGCCTCTATTTACTACTATTTTCCATGGCTATTTTAAATGTATACGATTTTGGTTCAAAACACGATGGTGCACGACAAATATGTTATTCACATCAAATGATAGTGTCCTGTTCGTAATCATGCTTTTCCGAAGACGTCGAACAATTTTTCATTTTCGCCTCTATTTACTACTATTTTCCATGGCTATTTTAAATGTATACTATTATGGTTCAAAACACGATGGTGCGCGACAAATATGATATTCACATCAAATGATAGTGTCCTGTTCGACAGAATGCTTTTCCGGAGACGTCGAACAATTTTTCACTTTTGCCTCTATTTACTACTATTTTTCATCACTATTCTAAATGTATACTATTTTGGTTCAAAACACGAAGGTGCGCGACAAATATGTTATTCACATCAAATGATAGTGTCCTGTTCGAAACCATGCTTTTCCGGAGACGTCGAACAATTTTTCATTTTTACCTCTATTACTACTATTTTCCATGGCTATTTTAAATGTATACGATTTTGCTTCAAAACACGATGGTGCGCGACAAATATGTTATTCACATCAAATAATAGTGTTCTGTTCGAAACAATGTTTTTCCGGAGACGTCGAACAATTTTTCATTTTTACCTCTATTACTAATATTTTCCATGGCTATTTTTGATGGGGTTCGGTCGAAGCTCTCCATTGACAGTAAGATTGATTTGTTTCAAATAAATGCAGAGCTGATCATTAGGGAAATGACTAGTAAAATGAATGAAGCCATGAGTGTCTTACTGTTGAATTTTAAGCGAAGACGTATGAAACGCCGACTGAAGGCAAATCGATGAATATTCTTCAAGTTGATGGGCCAGATTGTTCGCATAAAGATTAATCCACAGATTGAAGACATAATTTCGTCCATGTCATGTAGCCCAATTGAAGTGTCCATTATTTTGTCTATTTTCAGCATTTGTGAGACCAAAATGTCTCTTAAGTTGTCCTAGAAGTCAAAGGGTCATTCAAAAGTCATGTAATCTTATTTATGTGGTCAAAACTATGTTTTTAGTGCTTAATGAGTCCCAAAAACGGGATTAACTCTTTAGCTTGTAGCCTTTAAAAAGGCCATTTTATGTTTTAATGATAATGATGAATATTGCTGAATATTAAAAATCACTTTTGTGAGTTGAATTCTCTTTTGTAGAATTTCAAATGTTTTAAGAACTTATCTAGATACTTGAGCAAGATCTTGTGGCGTTCACCATACCGAGGTTCCTAGCTGATTATATAGCTAACAGGTCGAGGTTTTCAAGCTCTAGGTACGATCAAACTAGATCTCCGATCTGGGATTCCGCTGCCTACATATACGTTTGGTTCTTGGATCAATATATCCAATGGGTATCACGTGCTATCCGTATCAGTTTGGTATCAGAGCAATCTGGTATTGATCTGATTTTTATCTTTTTTTATCAATCTTTGTGTTAAAAAGCAAAAAAAAAAAAAAATCCTTGTATTTTTCTACGAGGATTGTTAAAAAAAAAAGAGAGAGAAAATTTTGTTCGTTCGAAAAAAAAAATACTAAAAAAAAATGTGCAACAAGGAGTGGCAGGATATCCTGCAATCAAGTTTCCAAACATTGGAGCGGATTGAAAAAAAGATTTTTCGTATGAGGATCAAGTTGCCACCCAAATCTTTCGAGTACTTGGCCGCTGTACGTTGGGCGAACCACAAGGAAATGCGCATGGAGGCGCGAAGCGGGGAGCTGTACGTGGACAACACGCCCCAAGGTGGAGGCGTGGCACTATCGAGCAATTCTAGGGGTAAGGGCAATGAAGGTAGAATCGCCAATGAAAGGCGCAAGGAATACTTATTCTTGTTTGAGTTTACGGGATACTCTGAAGATGTGGAGGCCACCAAACTCGTGGACGAGCACGTGTCAACCGAGTACAAAGATCCACGTTTGGTTGAAGACGAGTTCAAAGATGTGCCAGAATCATTGGAGTATGATGGTCGTCCTATTTGGGACGACAAGATTGATGATGTTGTGGTGGAGGTCGATGAGGTCCACAAGGAGAAGACACCCAAGTTCGAAGAGGTCCTATGTGATGTTGTGCCAATGCATGCTAATCATATACTTTTGGATTCGAGGACGAATCATTTTGAAGAAGAAGGTAATGATGTGGTTCGGTCGAAGCTCTCCATTGACAGTAAGATTGATTTGTTTCAAATAAATGCAGAACTGATCATAAGGGAAATGACTAGTAAAATGAAGAAAGCTATGAGTGTCTTACTGTTGAATTTTAAGAGAAGATGTAAGAAACACCGACTGAAGGCAAATCGATGAATATTCTTCAAGTTGATGGGCCAGATTGTTCGCATAAAGATTAATCCACGGATTGAAGACATAATTTCGTCCATGTCATGTAGCCCAATTGAAGTGTCCATTATTTTGTCTATTTTCAGCATTTGTGAGACCAAAATGTCTCTTAAGTTGTCCTAGAAGTCAAAGGGTCATTCACATCAAATAATAGTGTCCTGTTCAAAACCAAGCTTTTCCGGAGACGTCGAACAATTATTCACTTTTGACGCTATTTATTACTATTTTCCATGGCTATTTTAAATGTTTACTATTTTGGTTCAAAACACGATGGTGCGCGACAAATATGTTATTCATATCAAATGATAGTGTCCTATTCGAAACCATGCTTTTCCGGAGACGTCGAACAATTTTTCACTTTTGCCTCTATTTACTACTATTTTCCATGGCTATTTTAAATGTATACTATTTTGGTTCAAAACACGATGGTGCGCGACAAAT